TACACACACACACACACACACACACACTCTTTTTTTTTTTTTTTTTTATATATATATATATATATATATATATATATATATATATATATATATATAGTATAAATATATTTAGAAAAAAAATGTGTGTGTGTGTCTGGGAAGCTGAAAATATTAATTCCACAATGATTTTCCAGCACTAAAGTAGATCTATAGAGCCAAGCAGATAAAATAGATTAACAAGCTTATATATAAGCTAAAGTAAAATCAGTTTATTATTTTCTGCTTCCTTTTATAGTGTGAGCACTAACAATTGATTGCAAAACAGTATATACATGATGCAGTGAACGTATATCCCGTGTCTCAAAATCCTAAAATGCATTGTGTTGTGATGACATAATTCCATTCTCCATTTGCATATTCATATTAGATGTTTAACATTGACAAATTGCAGCAATTTGTCAGAGTCAAAAACACTGGGGTCTCTAATAACAAGGTTTCTGAATGCTACATAATGCCACTTTAACTCCTGTATTCAGATCTGATCTGAAGGTTGTTTCACTTGTCTAGGTTGAAGAAAAGCCAGGGCACCTAATGAAGAATACAGCTGTCTGCTCCGTCTCTTCTCTGAACACACACACACACACACACACACGTAAAACATAGGTGCCATGACCTTTCCTCCAGATTAGAGGTCATTAAAAACTGGACACAAAGGAAGCGGGTATGTAGAGAATCTGATCATCTCTGCAGGGACAGCATGAGCTCCAGCTGCCTGCAGCTGAGACTCATCCCGCTCTGGATGTTTGTGTGTGTGTGTGTGTGTGTGTGTGTGCAGAAAACTGGATGCATTACATTTAATGCAGTTGAATACTGGGTTTTCACAATTGGGTCAGGGGAAAGATTCAGAAAGAATACATACATATATACATATGCATGTTAAACATACATAGCACTCTTGTTGTGCCACAATGTATTTGTTAAATGTAAGAGCTTTTTTAGGCAAGAATGTATTTGTTTAGACTTGAAAATTTCAATTTACGTAAAGGGATTTAACACACAAACCCTGGAGAGAGCATCCTTACCCCAGTTATTTCTTCTGGAATCTGATGTGTTTATAGAGGCTAACGAGTTAACTCTCATCGTTTTGATGCAGGGTATATGCAGGAATCCTAAAGGTAATTTCAATACCTTTTTAAGACTTTTTAAGGACCTTCTCAGAATATTTTAACACCTCATCGCCACTTCAAGTTCTAATCAGTATCAAATCTATAGCTTAATAAACAGTTGTAGTTAAATTAACCAATGGAGCACAACCATGCAATAGAACTTGAAGCTTGAAAGAATAAATTATGCGGTTGTTTTTTCAGCGACAGGCTTCGGCCACTGTTTAAGCTCGTCTTTCTACCACCAGGAGTACGCAAACTTACATTTTCCCATTTTGTCGTCTGTTTTGCTCTATGGTTTCGCTACATGTGGAGAGCATCACATATCCTTTCAGCATTTGTCGCAAATTACATGACATTACCCAGACAGAGAAGCTTAGCCGGACGTGCCCCGGCCCGAACCAATCACGTGGATCAAGCATGCCGTTGTTAATATTAGAAGTAAAATAATTTATTTAAATATATAATATAATATAATATAATATTACAATATAATATAATATAAAATAATATAATACAATACAATATAAAATAAAATAATATAATACAATACAATACAATATAATATAATATAATACAATACAATACAATACAATACAATACAATATAATATAATATAATATAATATAATAATACAATATAATATAATATAAAATAATATAATATAATATAATATAACATAATATAATATAACATAATATAATATAATAATACAATATAATATAATATAAAATAATATAATATAATATAATATAACATAATATAATATAATATAACATAATATAATATAATATAATAATACAATATAATATAATATAAAATAATATAATATAATATAATATAATATAATATAATATAATATAACATAATATAACAATATAATATAATATAATATAATAATACAATATAATATAATATAAAATAATATAATATAATATAATATAACATAATATAACATAATATAATATAATATAATATAATATAATATAATATAATATAATATAATATAATATAATATAATATAATATAATATAATATAATATAACATAATATAATATATTTTATTTCTGGAGTCAAACACTTTGGACAGTGCTTGAACTAAATTTAAGACATAAGAAAATGCAATTAAGACTTTTTAAATAACTTTTAAGGGCCTTAATATTTTCATAATTGATTTATCAACTTTTAATACTTTTTAAGACCTCACAGACACCCTGTGATGAATTATAATGGGTAACAGTTATTTATTTAACTGTCAAAAGTATACTTACATGACCAAAGTTTTTTTTTGTGTGTGTGTGTGCTCAAGAATCAATGTCAATGGAAGCACCACATTTTTAAAATTACTAGCTATCTAGCCACGTGTTGAGTCTGCATTTTATGCTCAGTGTTTTTTTAAATGCTTTGAGAGTTGGAGAAACTCTCACAGCTGATTGATTGTAGAACAGCGCTTGCATTTTGCTCACCTGTTTGATTTAAGATTTGAAACTATGCAAGTAGTTCTTTACACAGAGGATAAGACACTCCATGGGCGATTTTATTTACAAACGATTGCATTGAATTGTTGTATAAATGCATTATTGTACAATTAGCAGTGTACAGTTGAAGTCAGAATGATTAGCCCTCCAGAATTATCAGCCCCCTGTATATTTATTTTTTTATATTTTAACACAATTCTAATAACTAATTTCTAATAACTGGTTTATTTTATAATCGCCATGATGACAGTACATAGTATTTTACTAGATATTTTTCAAGAGACTAGTATTCAGCTTAAAATGACATTTAAATGTGTAACTAGGTTATATAGGCTAGTTATTGCATAATGATGGTTTGTTCTGCAAACAATAAAAAATATATTTCTTAAAGGGGGCTAATAATATTGACCTTAAAATGGTTTTTAAAAAATTAGGAACTGCTTTTAATCTAGATTAAATAAAAAAAAATAAGACTTTCTCCAGAAGATAAAATGTTATAGGAAATACCGCGAAAAATTATTTGCTCTGTTAAACATCATATGGAAAATATTTGAACAAGAAAAAAAAATTCAAAGGAATAGCGAATAATTTGGACTTCAACTGTACGTTAGCACAGCTGTGACGAAAATCCAAAAAAGGTATTTATTTTTTTTTTTTGCTAGAAACAAGGCTGCTATGATAGTTCTGGACCAAAATGTGGTAAATTTCTGACAGCAGTAAATAACTTTTATAAATTAGTATAAAAGCTATTGCACACTGAATCTGAAATTTTGGTTCATAATTTTTGCACATTAAAAAAATAATTGCTCCTTGATAAGGAGCTGAATTCTCTTTCTTCTCCATGCAGTATTGGATGAACACAATATGTAGCTTATTCCTTTTTCCTGATGAGAACAAAGTATCACTGCTGAAATAAATTTCGTGATGTTTTAATTAATACTCATTGGACTCAGTGTGCAACATTAGTTTATGTGACAAATGTTTCGCATAGGAATATGAAAAAAAAGCATACAAACATTTTGGACTTCAGTATGTAAGTGCTGCGAGCCTGTACATTTCTCACCTGTTGCATTCGCAGTGATTCCAGCTCTCTCTCCAGTCGAGTGCGTAGCCGATGCTCAAGCTGTTCTCTCTTCTCACAGGCGGCCTGAAGCTGTGCTAGAGCCTGCTGCATCCGCTCCACCTTTTCCACATATACCTGCTTTTTCTTTAGCTGTACAGACACAGAGAATGCAGGTCAGATGCTGCAGCTGAAACCGCAACCAGAAACTCCCCCCCCGTCATCCTTATAATGAATGCCTCCCTTCTCTCTCTTCGACATCACTCAATTCCACCAGTGGTTGTAATTGCAGCCAAAATGAATGCCCCAATTTAGTTCGGGAGACAACATAACAGAAAAGTGAGTGAGAGAGAGAGCGCAGAAGTATTTGGCTCCCGTTTGTAATGGAGGGGGGGGGGGGGGGGGGGGGGGGGGGGTTGAAAAGGGCAAGAATTCAGCCATCTTCAAGTCCTTTCATGGCAGGCAACTCAAGAGGCTTTGTTAGGGGAACAAGCGAGTGTTTGTGACCATGCAGAACAAAAGTGGAACTGCTCTGTGCATTTTGGGACGCAAGGGTGCACACCCCGTTCAACGATAGCCAAAAGGCCATCTGGGAACACGCCAAAAGAGCTGAACCACAGACTCCAACTGTTACAAACACTTGAGTGCACAGATCAACAATACTTTGGTTTGAAGGTTTTTCTCTCATTTTCTCTATTAAAGCTTTTTTTTTGGCTTCAGCAAAGACCGTGTGGTTTCAGAGAACGTTAAGGCCAACGGTTCATTGAAGCTTGAAGATCTTAACTGCAGCAATGAGGAGAGGATGGAAAGAACTCAAGTGGGTTAAGTGGGTTGTGACTGAATGAAATGTAAATCAAACGCTTGTTTTATTATATAGTGCACAAGGGCGATATGACAAAAATCTCATATAAAAGTCTTATATCCTGATAGTGGTCTATTACTGGTGTGTGTGTGAACCTACACTGGTTTCATGGCTCAGTTCGTTTGCGATCATCATGCCATTAATTTGGTTCAATTCAATATCTTGATGCATCATAGTGCATTGACGATGCTTTCCATACCCAATTATATCTCTTTATTCACAACACAAGAATTCTAAAATTAAAATTAGTACATAAATTAATATGTATACAGTATATTATTTGTTAAACAAGTTTTTCCTTTAATACAAGCAGTAAGATATATGAACTGTACCTTTATTTGGCCTGCTCACTATTTTTGAATGTTTCAAACTAAAGTCAAATACAATCACAGACGACAACATGAGAATTTATAGCAAATAAACTAATGTAAATATTATTGCGCTTGCTTTTTGAGCGTTGTCAAGTGTGTTCTTACATCCCTATGATTGGTCAATAGCCGCGTTTCCACTATTGCGCCTAAAGCGAGCGAGCCAGGGCAAGCCAAGGCCAGTCACGTTTCCACTGTCACTTCCGGGCCTAATCGGGCCAAATCGGGGCTTTCTTGGGGCCAGCGGCCGGCCTTTTTCGTCATGCCGAATACCTTGGGCCAAAGAGGGCCAGCCGGGGCTTCTGGGCGGAGTGAAAGGAGAGGCGACCACAGTTTTCCGATCGCACATGAGTACATGCGCCAAACAAATAAATAAATAAGGGAAAGAAACATCTGGAATAAATTATAGGCTGGGGTCTTTTTGTGTATGATCGCCCTTATGTTTCTCTTTTAAATGTAAGGCTGTTGGATAAGATAATAAAGTAGTTTTAATTTATAAGTGACTTTTCTTTGCTGCGTCCTCCTTGATGTTTCAATAACGCATAATAATCTTTACACCATATTAAAGACACAGCAGACAGTAAAGGTTTTAGAGAGTTTTTGTCAAGTTTAAAAGGTGTGTTTGTGCAAGTTTAGATGCCTGTATGTGTGTGTGAGACCGAGGAAAAGATCGCTCCATTCATAGCTCTGTTGATGCCGCGAGCGGCTTTTTCTTTTCTTTTTTATTGTTTTTATTTATTTTGGAGATAATACACTATATGAATACAACAGAAAGACATTAAACTTTACAAATTTCGTGTCCACTTTTGTAGGCTCAAAACAATAGTGTCATATCTAGATAAAATAGCCAAAGCTATATTGAAATAATTTAAAGAATTACAAATATCAGATATAATGAAATCACATTAAATAAATAAACCATTATAAAACCAACAAAAGCTAGCTTTAACAATTAGGTACTATATCAAACTGTTTTAAAACCATATTAAACTTTCATTTTTTAAAAGCCTCTCTGAAAAAAAAGATTTTAGATATTTTCTAAAAACAATAAACACCGGAGAATGTTTTAAATATTATTTATATAGTATTTGGATATGATGATATTAATTAAATCATGCAAACGGGGCATTATTGGGGTGAGTGAAAGCAGAAACTAAGCAACCTTTTTTTCTGTCTTCCAGCTGCGCAGCACTTTACAGACGCATCGGGGAAAACTGCAAGTTCAAAATGTGTTCTGTGTCCTCAAACAAGTGTGTATGTTTTTTATATGACGTGGTAAATTAAAAAAGGAAATTTTAAATACATAAAGAGCTTTATTAGCGCATAGCTGCTGAGCGCAACGAAATATAGGCTATATTTTATTACGTGCTGCTCTTATGTGCTGAAACACTGAACACTTTTCTTTTACTTAAGATATAATAAGCAACATCTTTAAATAAAGGGAATCACCTATTAAGTGTCATAAATCGGCTATTGTGTTCATAGGCTCAACAGAAAGGGCTGCGATGGGCTCTAGAACTGCCAGCGCTGTTTACATCTGAGTGATGTGGACACTTAAAAATGTGCGGTAACAGTCTATATGCACATAATAAATCGCACATTGCACAGCTATCACAGCTGATCCTTGATAGATGCCGTGCATAAATCTCGCTCTGCAGACACACCCGTGTCAGGACCCACAAGTATCCCTTTAATAGTAATACAGAAGAGGAAAAGTTACCTAACAAACATGCCAGCAGTTCAAAGGTTCTCGAAAGGGAGAGAGACAGAGAGAGACTTACTTAGCAGTTAAATTGTGTCTCCTGTGTCTTCAGTCAATGAAAACCACATGCTGTGAATTGTGCAATGTTATCTGCTTTTTAAGTAGTTTTTAATTACCCACCATCGCATCATTCGAATAGTATTCTACCACAACATAGTGGATATGAGATAAATGACGTCAGTGTGTAAGAACCGGTGATGATCTATTATTGAACCGATACCGAATTGTCCACGTCTGCATTGCAGTGAATCGAATAAACAATTCATTTTAACACCCCTCCACAATATACATCACGATACATTCAATCAGTTAATAGTGACCGCATGAAAAGGACTTTTTGTGATTTTAAAGTATATCCTTAAATATGTACTCATTCATGTGATTATTCTTCTCACTTTAGAACAAATGTTTGATTCAGAATGTAAAACTATCAAATAAATATTAATGAAACATGAAAAACTTTTCAAAAAGTAATGCAGGCACAGTATAAAATGCTAATTTAAAAATGAAAATATTGTACTTTAAAGATCGTTTACCTTTTCGATGCTTGTTATTCAGATTTCTGCTCGCATCTCGATTGGTGCATTCAAATAATGAAACTGTATTATCGTAAAGAATGCATTGTTCTACGCCACGAATTAAACGATAGAGCATTATATGAAACGATGGAATTTTTATTTAACCAATACGATATTTACTCTCATATTGTACAGGCCTAATATCCACCTACAAATTTATCAGCAGTAGACACTCCTAAAGTGGCACACGTATGCATACACACAATTATGGTCGCCTATATTTGATTTTTTTTAATGAGTTTAATTTACATGCACAATAAAAGGTCACACTTTACAATAAGGTTCATTAGTTTATGTTAATTATGCATTTAATAACATATACAAACAATGAACAAAACATTTACTACTGTATTTGGTCATGTTAGTTAACGTTACTTAATGAAAATTTAGTAGTTCATTGTTAGTTCATGTTAACTCATGGTGCATTAACTAAAGTTAACAAGCATGGACTTGGATGTTAATAATGCATTAGTAAATGTTCAATTATGATTAATAAATGCTGTACATGTGTTGTTCATGATTAGTTAATTTTAGTAAATGCATTAACGAATGAACCTTATTGTAAAGTGTTACCCAATAAAGTGAACACTAAAGTTGTTCCAATTCAAAATTCAAAAAAGTAAATTGACAAATTGTAAAACATTTTACCTCTTCCTCCAGTTTGACCACTTTGGCTTGCGCGTTGTTTAAGGCCTGGTCACGGATCTCGATGTGCCTGCGCTGGTCCTCTGTTGTGGAACGAAGTGAATTCAACTCGATTTCCAGCTTCTCCTTTTCTCGTTGATTTTCTTTAACTGTTAAAAGAGCAAAATGAACATTTTGCACTTTCCCTCCCAATTTATTGCAACTACCATCTGTGTTCACAAATCAATGGTAATTCAAAACAAACCTACATTTAATTTAAGCTCATTATATTGCCTTTAAGGAACTTCCGGGTTTCTTGTACCTGTAGGTCCACTCACCCTGAACCAGAAGCTGTGAGATGGTTTTACGATTGTCCTCTGTGCCCTCACACTCTTTTGCAGCGAGCTGCTTGTTGGCCGTTTCCATTCGTTCTGTTGAGAGAAGGAGACAAATCTAAATCACAAATTTGTCTAATTTATGGTTAAAAATTCCATATGCACAATGATATATGCACAGCAACAGCAAGTGTTTTTTTTTTTTATAAAAATTTTTAATTAACTTTGGGAGAAAGGTTAATGTAACTATTTTCAATTTAATAAGGTTCCTTTTACAGCACCGATAATGTAATTTATTTAAAATATAATCCGTTGAATAGACTTAAGCATTCATTTAATTGTTTAAACATAGAGCAAGGTAAAAGATGCAAGTTTAAAAGCAAACGGTATCAAGAGCAGCAGACAAGTACATAAACTCCAATGAAAATGCATACATTTCCATATTAAAGCCGCACGTATCATATTTGATACACGAGTTTCTAAGACCTATATAATATCAACCTGATCAATACTTTGTTTAAAAACCTGTTGTATATGATGTCATACTTGTATTCTCCCCCCTTGTGGATTGTCATGACACTGCTGGCCGTGGAATGGCTTTTTTTACCTTTTCAAAATGGCTACTTTCATTGAAATACTCTGATGCTTTTTGGCTAAAAACTATTTGCTAATTTCAAGTTATTATAGTAAGAATAAAATTTATATTGTTACTAATTTTATTAAATAAAGGTTTTCTTGATTGAAACAAAGCATAATTACTTAATAATTAATTAATTTTGTTGCAAATAAATTGTGTTGAAAATCATGTATCAAATTTGATACAACAGCTATAAAAGGAGCTTTATTTCCGAACAATGATATCACATTTTTGTAATGTAATCAATATAATGCCTAATACAATGCAAACACACTGTTTTTGGATGATTAAATTAATTTAAATAGTGACTGAAATACCATTTTAAAATACATTGTGGGTATTTTTACAATAATTTATGATCGATAAACTATATTGATCAATTTATGTGTATTTTTAGATGTCAAAAGAATAGAGGAAGATGATAGAAAAATTAAAGTGTCTTGAAAATGTCATCAGCATAATAGTCTATGGCAATTAAAATGACAGGGGGAAGATGAGGATGCATGGCCATGCATGATGATGGTCATTCAGACTACAGTGATGAGGAAGAATATCAAGAAGAAAGTGTAGTCTAGACAAGCACAGAAGTAAAGGTCCCAACTACACAAACACAGAACACAGTAAGAAAGCAGTCAGGAACTAGCAATGCAAAAATGAAAGAATACAGATGAAGAAAAATACAATATCATGGTACATTTGTTGAGTTCATTGCATCTGCTGAGGACTCATACCAGCTGCTTTCTGACTGTGTCCTGTGTTTGTATTGTTGGAACCTCATCTACTTGTCTAGACGAAACTTTTTTTCTTGATTGTCTTCCTCATCACAGCTGTCTGAATGACCATCATCATCATGCATGGCCTAAGGACTTCCCCTAACTGCTCAATGGCACTTTAATTGCCATCTATTATTATGGACTCTGTATATGTACAGTATTGAAATAGTTTGCCACTGGAGAACAAATAAACTTGCACAATATATTCAAAGATGGCAAGTCTATAAACACAGATGGCAAAGAAATTGAGAAAGTTCTAGGCATGTACATAAACATGCACCCCATAAAAGGTCAAGCGGTGCGGTGTGCTTTTTTAATGTTAGAAGGCATGATCCTGATCATTTTCCAACATGGAGAAACCTGACAGAGATAAAAACACTGCACCAGCAATGACTTCTCACTTCTGTGTACTGTGTAAATGTAAAAGTGCATCTTTGCCTGAACAAGACCTGAAACTACTAGTACGCCTACCACAATGTGAAATAATAAAACACTGTAAAATGCTTAATGTAACAAAAAATAGAGATAAACTGCCGGAAATGTTCTCTTTTGTCAAAAAGTTAAGGGCAAATTTATTTTTTTTGTAATTAAAATAATCATTGTTTTTTTGCAAAAAGTTGCACAAACGCCTGATGTATCAAATGTGATACAAAATAAATATCATGAAAAAAAATCTATATGGCATAATTATTTTTTTGGTTTTTCCTTAATGGTTTAATAAACATCCCAGATCCAGAAAATTAGAAGTTTTTGACTATTTTTTGACAAGTCAGGTCTTACTAAAGACATGGAGCAGAACAATGGAATGTAATTCAGTGCTTCCTCTCTGGGCTGACACCCACTTTATATTGTATTTTCATCAGATAGTAAAGATTATTGGTTAAAACTCCTAAACGCGAACTTTTGAGACAGTTCAGCGACGTCTCTGGTTATAAGTTAAATCTGCATAAGAGTGAGTTTTTTCTTATAAATCCTGCTCCAAAATCCTTTCCAGTGTCAATATTGCCATTTAAATTAGCCTCAGAAAATTTTCGATATTTAGGAATAACAATAACACGAAAATATACTGATCTTTTTAAACATAATTTTGTTGCAATATTAGAGAAAACAAAACAAGATCTAGCTAAATGGAAAACTCTCCCACTTTCTCTTGTAGGCAGAATAAACACAATAAAAATGAATATTCTCCCTAAATTTCTTTTCCTCTTTCAAAGTATTCCAATTTTCATACGAAAGTCATTTTTTAAGTCCTTGGATCAAGTAATTTCGGATTTTATTTGGAACGGTGGCCCAATAAGAATACAGAAATCATTTCTTCAACAACCCAAAAAGTTAGGTGGTTTTGCACTTCCTTATTTCTTAGTCTACTATTGGGCGACTAACATCCACAGTATTTTATATTGGAGCCAGTCACACTACGGACTCTGCCACTGGGTCCCAGAATGGGTTGAAATGGAATGCGATTCTTGCACCCAAGTGTCTTTGCATGCGTTACTATGCTCTTCATTACCATTAAAGACATCAAACTATTCCTCTAACCCTATAGTACTTAATAGTCTTCGAATTTGGTCACAATTTAGAAAACATTTTGGCTTTCAAACAATGTCTAGTCTGTCTCCCATATATAAAAACCCTTCTTTCCTGCCCTCTATCTCAGACCAATCTTTTGCATCATGGTTTAGAAAAGGCATTGTAAGCATTAATGACCTTTTTTGTGATGATACATTTGTTACATTTTCTTATCTATCAGAAAAATTTAACCTTCCCAAAACTCATTTTTTTCGATATCTTCAGACACGTGAATTTATACGAAATACTTTTTCCCATTTTCCCCTTGCACCTCCCAAACAAGAAATCGATCAGGTTTTAGATACAAAAATTTGTAAAGGTGCAGTCTCTAAAATTTATAAAACAATTTTTTCATTTATTAGACAGTTAGATTCCTCATCCTTTTTAAAAATAAAGCAGAGCTGGGAATCAGATCTCAATCATGTTTTCATAGACGAGGAATGGTCCAAGGCTCTGTCTCGTGTACAAACCTCTTCTATTTGTGCTCGTCATTCCCTTATACAATTCAAATTATTGCATAGAGTATATTGGACTAAGGCAAAAATATCTAAAATTAACCCTGGTTTTGATCCAACTTGTGATCGGTGTCGACAAGCTCCAGCCACTCTTCTTCATACTTTCTGGCTTTGTCCAGCGCTAAGCACTTTTTGGGCATCAATTTTTAAATCAATTTCTGAATGCTTTCTTTTAGATATTGAGCCATGCCCCCTAGTAGCATTATTTGGACTTAACCCTACAAATGTTTCTTTGTCATCTACACAATCAAATGCACTTGCTTTTTGTTTAATAATTGCTAAAAGGCTTATAACACTAAACTGGAAAAATCCTTCCCCACCCAGTTACATACATTGGATGCATGATCTGATGCAGTCTATGCAAATAGAAAAGATTAGATATACAGTTTGCGGTAATACTGAAAAATTTGACACTATCTGGCAACCATTCCTCTTACACTTTAAAAATAAAAATAATAAATAAATAAACATGTATATATGTATGTGTATTTGTATGCAAGTATATAGCTGACTTATCTTCCCTACCCCTGGCTTGGTTATGAGTGGAGAGTGTGTTTTTTTATTATTTATTTATTTTATTTTTTGTTTTTATATATATATTTTATTATTATTTTATTTTCTACTGCTGTACCCTTTGAGTATTTGTATTTATATATTCTCGGCACTGTTGTTGTTGTTGTTGCTGTTTTTTTGTTTTGTTTTTTTTCCTTAATGCATGAATATGTAACTATATTTTATTCAGAGAGAAAGAAAACGTGAGCAAAATTGTACTCTACCACCACATTGGATCAGTTGATGTCTAATGATTCTGTGTATCTGATGCTGTGGCTCTCTGACTAACATATTTCAATAAAAACAGAGTTAAACTAAAACTCCTAAACGCTGCGATTTTGTAAAGGCAAGACAGTTCACCGGAAGCGTTTGTACTGGTTAACTGAAAAGAAAAAGTCCTTGTGCATGTACTCCATTACTTTTTTATGTAAAATTATTCACAATAAGGTTCACATGGTATCTTATTACCTACCTAACACTAATCAAGCATTCCCAAAGTACAAAGACTAAAATAAAAATACTTATTTCCTAAATGCAGCATTATTTTAACAGATGCTTCGTGTAATATTCTCCATCCAACCAAACTAAAACCCTAGAATGTGTAGCTCATATTCCAGGCCTCTTTAAACAAATAATAAACCACTGGGACTGGTTGCTCAGCAAATTGGAAAACAAAAATATAACAAACATTTTATATGCGCCCAGTTCCCAAAGAGCACTCTTGACATAACTCACAATGTGCTGTTAAGTCAAAAGCTGGCCCAAATAAAAGGACCATTATATAGAAGGGGGTTGCTGTTTTTTTGCAATGGCAAACTGTTCATCAAGGAAGTGGGCCAAACGTTAAAACAATATTTCCCCCTGTGTAAAGTCAACCAGACTGTGAGACGAGCATTCCAGAATCAAATGCCTTTCCCCACTGTGCCTTTGTGCCTCTCAATAGTATCAAGACCCTCTTCTAGATAAAAACACATTCAAAAGAAAAAGGAAATTAAGCTATGCATATATGCCAAAAATTTGCCAAAAAAAAAAGTCTTGACACATCTCAGCTTGTATTAGCACAAGGTATGCATCAAAGTTAAAACGTTTTGACTGGGGGCTTGTTGTCCCTGACCCCTCCAAAAAAAAAAGGCCTTCGCAAACAACACTAATTATTGACTGTAAGAAAATCTACTTCAGTCAAATCTAGTCTTGAACAATAGCAGAAGTAGTATTTCGGGCTATAGAAAATATGAAAAACATGGAGTGGAAGAAAGAAATGCAAGAGAGAGAGAGAAGAAAAAAAGTTCTATAAAACTCCGGGAGCTCCCCATGGACCTAAAGTCTGGGCATGCTGCCATAAATCAGGGTTTCTCTGTTTTCTGCTGGACTTAAGACAACAGCGAGGCATGATCGTAGAGGTGGCCACAATCAGGAAGAGTGAGTCTGCTGACAGCAACAGAGAAATGAGGCAGAGAGACTGTTGCTTTGGTTTAGACTCTAATAGATACTACACAGAGCCATGAGATACACATGCTAAAGGAAAATTCAAATGCTTTGAAGGAAAATTCAAATGCTTTGAACTTAAGAAGAACAAGAAGCCTCTTTGAATGGGAATGGCAGAATGTTGGAGCCAGGTGGGACCACCACAATGTTGCCATTTACAGATCCTGAGTGTTTCAGATCAGTCTTTAAGGGGTTAGTTTAAGCAAAAATTGTTATAAATTATGCACCCTCATGTTCCAATCAAGTGTGCCGCAAGCCTGCGTTTGAGTGAAGGTCTCGGCCGTTAGATCGCCCCCTGGGGGCTGGCTGCAGTACAAGTCATAAAGCCCGCCTCCTCCGTGTTAATGAAGGAGACTTGAGCCCAAATAAAAAAAATTATTACACTTGCAATAAAATGTCCCGAAAGATGGTTCTGGTGGATTAAGGCACTGGTTATTGTGCTGAAATAGGTGCAGATCTTCATTTTTGTAAACAGTTTGTTTTTAGCAGTAATTTAATGCTGGGCGTGTCATCGTGATTGACAGCTGTGATTGACAGTTTCTCAAAGCAGTGCGTCTGAGCTTCAGCAGGAGACTGAAGTGTTATTATTCGATTTCTGTGTTATTTTACCATGACAACATGAGTTCAGCAGTAAACTACAGTTTCTGACATACATGATCCTGGTGGAACACTGTTTATTCGCTAAGGTCAGGGCTTTTTTCGGGCTTTATTAGTTTGCTGATACACGCCTAACCACCCAGATGGCAAAATACACTCGGACCAGTTCGGCTAGATTCTCGCCTGCCGGAGACTTACCCCTCAGAGCTCAGACTGACTACCTCTGCTGGACCTACTCCGGATGCCTGGACTCACTGCCCGATTCCAGCCCGAGTCAATCAAGCCAGATGCGGCGGCCGAGCGAGCCAGCGCTGCCGCATGCGAGCCGGAATCAGCCCGCGACGCCGCGAGTAGGTTATGTGCGCTGCGGCCCGGAGCTGGCGCGATTAAATATATAAAACCTTCATATTTGTTAACGTTATTCCATCCATTTGTGTTGATATGACCGCAAACGCATGCTGAGAAGTTCGGGGGGCGTGGTTGATTTTACATAAAGCGTTTGGTTGGAAGCTCGACTCCGCTCATTTTCGCGGCTCCTCCTCTGGCTCCAACAGACAGTCCTTCTGCGCATGTCAAGGCTCCAATTTCAGCAGTCTTTTGCGACAGTTTGTGCCCGTCAAGCAGGCGTTTTGCCCTCAAGGCGTTCAATGGGAAAAGGGGCTGTCGTCCATATTTTTTACAGTCATTGGTTCCAATCCTCAGAGACCTTTATTGATCTTCAGAATACAAATTAAGATCCGAAAGCTCTATCATCCTCCATATATAGCAATGGTCTTAGACTTCCAAAGTCCCAAAAAATTTTACTTCAGTGGTTCAAAAAAACTGTATAAATGACATTGTACACCAATGTCTTCCACATTCCACACAATGTTCTCCTAAAAGCAACTTAGGGCATATATATATATATATACATATATAGGGTTGTAACGGTATGAATTTTTCACGGTATGATAATCGTCTAAAACAATACCACGGTTTGACGGTTTCGCGGTATACGGTATGTTACAAATGTTACAAAATAATAGAACAGTGAAGCAAATTTGACTTTTTCCAAATAATATATTTTTTAGTTACTATAAACAACACCACTTACAATGAACAAATAAAAAAATAAGAAAATAATAAATAATGTGTCAAAGTCCAAATAAAGTCCAAATAAACATGGTGCAAATCCTCAGTAAAAAATAGATATAAATATTTACTATACTATAAATAGTTACATAACGAAACTAGATTCAATATGGAACATCCTTAGGTTTTATGTGCCAGCATGGATATGGTTGTCTATCGATATGGATTTGGATATGGTTGTCTGCAATGCAGACAAACAGCTGCACCTTCATTTGTGTCTTTTGAAAACAGCAAGAGCAGCAGTTCGTCTTTGCTGTGTCACTGTTTTGTCATGTTTCTGTGCTGCTGTGCATGCAAAAGTACTTAGTATGAGAATTATTTCATGCAAAACTTTTTTTTTTGCGTTTTATTTAGCCGCGCATAAATGTATGCCTATCTCTCATTCCGTGTTGTTCAAAAAGCTTGGTCCACAAACAAAAGCGAAACCTATGCTTATTGGTTGTGATATAGCGAGTTTGAACCAATCTGGGCATGGAGGAGGGACAATGCATCAATGTATCGTGTCTGATTTGTCCGGAGACACAGTGACGAGCGTTTCTTTGTCAAATCAGCGTTGTCAAATGTTGATGACGTAACCGCACTGATTCCGGAGCCTCTGAAAGTCCGCGAATGTTATGTGATACAGCACTGGAAAGCTGAGACTCTCTTCTTTATGCCAATCTTTGAATTGTATGAATCGGATCAGCGGATCAAAAGTTATTAAACATTTAAGAGCAATACTTATTTTTAGCCGCGGGCGGCTGTCTCGGTCTTTAAGGGTTAAAACCGTTGATATGCAATTGTTCATGGTATGATAATCGTGCACGTTCAAATCGTGGTAAACCGTCATACCGGTATATTGTTACAACCCTATACATATATATATATATATATACATACATATATATATACATACATATATATATACATATATATATATACATACATATATATATACATACATATATATATACATACATACATATATACATACATATATATATACATACATACATATATATATATATATATATATATATATATATATATATATATATATATATATATACACACAAAAAGTCAACATATGCACCTTGTCCTTGACTTTTACTACACGCAGCGCACGCACATGAACAGTGAGTAAGAGAGGATATAAAAGCAAACAAGCTCTAAGGTAAAACCTGACGCTCAAGACATAATCTTTAAAATAATGACTTCTATTACAAATGTAGACAGTGGTTTGTGATATAAGAATTACAGCGGAGCATTATATAAATGCACATTTCCATAGAGCGCTTTTAGGTAGCCTGATATTTTTATTTCTTGGAAGAAAAAACATGGCAAAAAAAACAGCCGATGCTGGTTTTTAAAAAGGATTCAGTCAGTGTTTTCATTTTGTAATCTAAATTTGTAATTTAAGTGAAAAATAGGTAGACCTATTTGTTTTATTCTTTTTATTTAGCTTATTCTTGTTTCTATACTGGCGAAAACACTGCAGGTGCGTGAAAATGTTCTGTTGATAATATGTTCACATGTTAAAATCAATCAGTATTTTAAAATGCAATATTTATTGTGTCAGAAACAAAATAGACACGTTAATTATTTTGTTTTAAATTAAATAATAATTTGATATTAATCTGACTAGTTAATGGTTAATATTCAGTTAACAAGCAGCGGTTTCTGGTTGGCAAAATTAACCAAAATGAGCATCCCTAGTTGCTCTGCAGACTCCAACTGCAACACATAGCACTGCCTGTATTAAACATGCACACTGATTTGATGTGGGAGTAAAGGTATTTAAACAAATAGCTTAAGGTGAAGTAATATTTAAAGTTTTTATACAAGTGTCCTTGTATGATTACAGTTAAACCACTGAGAATGTCACTCTGAATGTTTTGGCAATGTTTCCGGTGAATTTTCTGGGCTTTGAATGTCTCTGGGCCATTACTGTCTATGAAGGGTCACTGAGATCTCATATTTATGTTACAAGAAAAGGTCTCAGGGGATAAAAACCACAATTGGTAGAGCAATTTAAGCCAAGAACAACACAAACATGTTTTGAGATCAGTGACAATTTTACTGCTAAAAGGTGTAGTATAGTGGTAAAGTACAATTCATGAATCTTCCTTTCATAATAATCTCCTCCTAATACTTTCAGAATACTCCGATATATTGCTATGTTTCTCACCTCGTAGGTCCCTGTTGAAGTCGTGCACCCTGCGCACCTCCATCTCCAGCTTATTTCTCATGGTCTTCTCAAGAGCTTCCCTCTTTGTGGATGATTTAGCCAAGTTCTCGTAAGCTTCTGACACCATCTGGATCTCAGTCTCCATCTGTAAAGAGATTACATTGCTGAGGCCTCACAGAAACAACAAAACAGATTTTGTACAACTAAAACATAGCATGCAACATTGCCTTCCACTTTTGATGTGTCACTCTTGATGTTGATGTCACTCTTGATGTGTCACCTAAAAATCTTTTCAAAGCTTGTTGAATCAAAAGTTTAGATGGTTATCATGCCAGAGTTGATCCTTGGTCATCTGAGAGCTTATTATAATATTTATAAACTCTTTTTTCCATAGAAACACCAAACACTTTTAAACATCTTTGTTATTAAACACACCTGATTCAACTCATCAGCTTGTAAGTAGAATCTACAGGACTCCAGAAACAGAATAATCAGATACCCAACACATCCAAAATGTTTTCTGTTGCTGTGCCTCCAAGAACAAAGTTGAAAACACTGACCTATCCTGAACTGACCTACATTTGCACTGACATGGAAATGGTTTCATTTAAGTGGATGTGGTACAGGTTATGACCTAAATTGAGCAAGCATTAAACATGTCTTTCTCTATCTCACTTACTCAAGGGTCCCCAATTAAATATTTGATTGTGTAATGGTAATGTAATGAGAAACTTCAAAGACAGTCATACCTTTTGTAGTTTGGACACTTTCTCCCCACACACCTCCAGCTCTTGCTTAAGCAAGCGGTTTTCTTCAGACAGCATATCCACCATCTGCTGGGCACGGGCAAGCATGGCATAAGGATCCCCCTGCATGGAGAGTGGATGTGAGTAGTGTTGTGCTGGACTCTGTTGCTGCTGCTGCTGGGGGCCCTGTTGGTGGTACTGGTGCTGGAGCATGTGGAGGCCCCTTGGAGCTGACCCATAATGATCATGTGGAAACACGTGGCTCCGTTGATGAGGAGGATGGCCTGGGCCGTATGGATCACCTTGGTGAGAACCAGGCCCCTGTGAGCTTCGAGCACCTATGGGGAAGGGTGGCTCTCCCGAATGACCCATTGGTGGAAGCGCATGGGAAGCAGCCAAGATGCTGCTGAGAGTGGAAGACTGAGCACGGGAGAGAGAGCCTCCAGACGTAACCGAAGATGAAGGGCTGTGGTGATGGACGGACCTTTGAGAGTGGCTTGAACTCTCCTTACTTGACCTATTGAGGAGCAGAATAATGAATTATACTCACATCTTGATTGATTGCAAGAGTAGTAGACAAATTCTAGAGAACTTTGTGACCTACAAAATAAATTTAAACTTGCATAACCAACGGCTTCTTTCAAGACATTCAGTCACTGTTGTGAAACGACTATGTACTGCATACCAACCGTTCACAAAAATATTTTTCACAGGTCAACATTCCTGGTTCTCTACAACAATAATGGACAAACTGTCATGCTGTGACATGTTGTAGATGATTATTTGAATTTGATATGCATACTTTTGCTATATGCCACACACTTGCTCTACAGTGAATGAATTCAGGGAAACAGGCAAAACTTGCTTTTCCCATAACAGGTTTCCTGACAACATGTCCCAGCATTTAAGGGAAGGGCTGTTTTGAGACTCATCACCTGAAGTTTTTTAACAACTGATATGCCAGGGAATGTAATATGCGCTGTAAGGTGCATCGCACCAGTTCCCATAAAGTCCCAAAATTCAGCCCACTTCTTAGCCTTTAAGGCACACTCACCGAAAAGAGCCGTACTCAGGTGGTGGCTGGTACCGGACATGAGGAATGTCAGTCCTGGCTGGTTGGCTTGTACCGCGGTGGTCTGGGTGGAAGTGTCCAGGCTCCTGGTGCTGAGGCTGATGGTGCTGTTGCTGTTTGGGTGGAGAGGGCATACCTTTAAAAGGATAGTCTGGAGGTGGCCCCCTGTGTGGAGGCCCAGTAGGTTTGTAGTAGTCTCCTGGAAGTCCTGGTGGAGGCAGCTGGGGGGAAAGTGGTGAACTGGTAACAGGAGCATGGGCCTTGACCCCGCTGGTGGCCAATGAGAGCTGCATTAGTCTTTCGCTGAGAGAACGTACATGACCTTGCTTTAGATCCTTGAGCCCATCATCTTGGTGTACTTTGCCTCCATTCATTCTCTGCACCGTGGACCTGCCCTCTGGGGGTCGCACCTTAGAGTTGGTGACTCCAGTCACATAAAAAGCAGCACCCACTGTTGGGGGCATCTGTGGTTGAGGCTGCTGGGGTTGATGGCCACGGAAGTACTGCGACTGAACCTTGGCTTGGTCATAAGTGGGCAGGTCTTCTGGATTCTGCATCTGCCCACTGACACAACTACCACCAAGTGACCCGGTGCCTCCGCTACCACCGCCTCCTCCTGCAGTGCGTGTGCTGAGCTTCTCCATGCCACTGTCAACTTGCAACTCCTGGCCCTGAGGCTCTTGTCGCGCAATGTGTGGGACCATCGAGTGCTCGTCTGCTGGGCTGCCAGGCCCTGGGTATCCGCTTACTGGACCTTGCTGCTGCTGTTGTTGCAAGGCAAGGTAATTTCGACCCTCGCCATAGCGCATTTGTTCCTGCAAGAGCCGCTGCAGAACCGTGTGTCCACTCCCACCGCTGTTGTTAGCCGATGTGTCCTCGGAAACTGAGGCTGCTGCCCTCATTTCCAGATCTCGTGACCTACCCACCTCATGGAAGGAGGAGCTTCGGGCACGATCCACACTCCCTGTGTAATGAACAATCAATGAACAATCAATGATACGCTCAGCCACCAACCATGACCATAGGCTGAACTATGATGTTGCCAAAAAAAGTTTAAAAAGCAGAAACTGAATAAAAATAAGCTGAAAGAGATTGACAAATATTCTGCATGTTCTAAGAGAAATGTCTGAAATCTCAGACCCCAACTGCCCCAAACTTTTCACACATTGACAGCTGGGCACCATATTCTTTAAAAATCAACAATAAGTAACTTCTCTTGCTAATCTATGACCAATCTACATTTTAAATGCGACAATTGTAACTGTAACCACTACTAATTCCCATCAACTTGCTAATTAGGGATTGATAAAGTTGTATCTTGCAGCTTTGTAAAGATTGAGCCCAGTGTCAAGGTGTTGAAGTTCACCCATAATGCAAATCAGGTTACCATTACCATATACCGTTCATACAACATCACTGTACAACAGCTCCACTTCTTTAACATGCAGTCATCTGTTTTCCCAAAGCATATGCATCTTAGTTCAAAACCTAAACCCAGATATACCTAAACTAAGATTAAGACACTTAACACAAAACAATTTAAAACAAAAACGACAGCTGTTAAAGCATACAAAGCCATTAGGTAGAAACCATTCCATAACATCAGTGCCAATGGGGATGTAATGTGTAATTCCACTTGAACTATATTAGTACAGCAAAATAAAAGTTGACTGTTATATGCATTCTGCTTCTCTAAATGGTGTTAATGGTTTCTACTACTGGCTTTGAACAATTTGTAGTTTAGAGGTTATTGCACCATCTAAAATGTAATGAAGGGGAACTTATTACGTCTATTGTTTTCTGATATTCCCCGCATTCTCAAGGAGGACGAGGCTTTTTTCCGAAACATCTGTGGTGAATAAATAAATAAACGTAAAGTGAGTCAAAAACAGAGCCATCAGTGTGCAACTGCTTTCCAAATTGGAAAGTCAAAGAAATTTGGAGACAAAGAGAGAGTGAAAGAAGAAAAATGCATTGCATAGTGACCCCTCATACTTTAACTTCCACTTCCTGTCATTCTCCAATCTTTCACTCACTGAGCCCTCCACAGAGCCAATGAGAGAGATGGCCACAAACCAAAACAGGATGAGAACGTGAAATGCAAAGGTCACAAAAAAAAAAAAACTCAAAAGCAATGGAATGATGGCTGATAACTGTCAAACTCATAAAATAAAAAGCAGATTTGTCAAAAGCTTTGTGTTACTTGTATTTACACACATTTGTTAGACTGCAACATTCACCAAACATGGTAAATAATGCTGTCAGACAATTTGTGATTTATAAAAACTCTAAGAAACACTTTTATTAAAAAAAATAATTGTTTGTATTAATCACTTTAAGCTCAAAATGCCATAGGACTTTAAGTGATAAAACTGTCTTCGAAATGTTCTACACTGCAAAAATAATTGACTTACTAAAAGTTTTTGTCTTGTTTTTATTCCAAAATGTCTTAAAATTCTGAAATCAAGAAGGATTTTCTAGACAACTAAGAAATGTTGTTTTGTTTTCAGAAATATTAAGTTATAATTAAGATTTATTTTTCCTTTAAACAAGCTAAATAATCTGCCATTGGTGTAGATAAATAATTCATATTCCAAATGCAAAAACAAGATTCAATTGCTTACCCCACTGGCAGATTATTTTACTTATTTTTAGGAAAAACTCAATTATGATTTATTAGTTTTGAAAACAACACGATATGTTTTTTGTACTTATCTAGCTTATGCTTCTTGATTTAAGACACTTGGACTAGAAACAAGACAAACTCGAAGAAAATCATTTTTGTTGTGGGAATCACTAGGTAGCAAACGCAAACTTCACTAACATACAACTTCAAGAGGTTTGCATCATCCCACTGATGTCCACCCCACCCATTTAGGCTCCTCTACAGTTCTCCAGTCATCTTTTGTTTCCGTTATTAATGTCGACCGATTCACATACCTGTGTGGCTGATGTAGCTGCTTTCGTATGTTACAACTGTCTGCTCATGGTCCTGAGATTCACTCTGGTTGCTGCTCTGAAGAAGCTCCTCGAGTTGCTCCAAAACACACGGCCGGTCGGCGAGGTCCTGAACGCCAAGCCACTCTAGAACAGGAAGGCACTCGGGCGAGTTAGAACAATGGGGGTGGGGTCCAAAGACAGGCTTTTTTTGGGTTGCAGAAAAAAATACATTACATTTGAAAGATAGGGGACATGTTTGTTTCCCGATTGTAATAGAAAAAAATAATGGCCTTGTGTTTTTTTACTCTCTCACAGACACTCGGGACTATACTGCAGCTGTATTGCTAAGTGAAAAAAAATACAATACTCGGCTACCTGACTGAGATTAGTGAGAAACTCTGACACAGATATAAGGGAGTTTAAGGAAAAAAGGCTTTGGATTTGTGGGTAGAAATTGCATCTGATATATCAGTTCAACTCAAACAGGAATGCAAGAATGTGCATCATTGTAAGGTATTAGGATATGCCTAAAAATACAAGAAAATTCAGTAACTTTTAATGTAGTGTGTGACATTATAATGCTTTATGCACTGAAAAATATCTCTGAAATTATTAATTTAAAAAAAGCTTTTGTGTATTTATATATAGCTCTGGGAAGAAGTAAGAGATTCTTTCTAAATTATTGCCAGTTTTTATGTATTTGCAATTTAGGTAATAATAAATAATATTAATTAATTTTATTTGTAAATGTCCTTTCTGGACACCCAAGGTCATCTTACAACAAGCGTTAACAGCCATACTAGAAGAAATTAAAACAATTAATAAAACGTAACAGAATAGTCAATATGATAGTCAATGATAGCCAAAAAATCTCGTCTTAGGACGAGATTTAAAAGTGTGAAGACTATCGCTGCTCTTTAGGTCCAGAGGAGTTTCATCCTTGAGGAGCCATGGAGCTAAAAGATCTGGCTCCAATTGTATTTAATCGAGTGCGAGGTGGCATTAAAGTGAAATAGTTGGCTAAGAGTGTGAGAAGGGGTGTAAATATGAAGAGGTTTAGTGAGATATTGAGGAGCAAGATTATGAAGCACCTTAAAAGTAAAAAGTAGTATTGTAAAATCAATATGAAACTTTAAGTGTTTAACGTAAGTGTTTTGAGTATGATGTGCATTTGTGTTTTATTTAAGAAATAAAAGATATTAACTAGTCTTCAAAATTTTCTACAAATATTTCCATTTTGCGGAAAATGACAACATACAGTTATGGAAAAAAATTAGCATTATTTCTTTTGGGTTGTGCAGTTTAATTCACAGAATTTTGACAAAATTACTTTGTATACTGCAAACCAGCAAATTCTTTTCATAACATCTACAATGCATGTTTACTTTCCTCATTTAAAACATTTTTAAAAATGTTTACAGATTGATATTTTTCTGCTCTCATACCTCTGTGGTTAGTTGATATGGAAGATATAAAAAAATGTTTCAATATAATGTTAACATAGACTTTCTCTATGAATTTAAGTTTGAGTTTTACTGCAAAAGTCACATATAAACGCTGGAATTGCTCATATATATTTGTATATAGCTCTAAGAGTCTATCGTGTTTTGAGTATTATGTGCATTTGTGTTTTATTTAAGAAATGAAAGGGATTAACTAGTCTTCAAAAGTGTAATTACAATTTTTTTTTCATTTTTTCTAAATGACAACATTTATAAATACACGCATATACAGCAATTTCTCAATTTCTCTAGAAATGTGTTTGAGCAAAATGTTAATAATTGTATTATTCAATAAAGGATTTATATTTTAAAAAGTTTTATCTTTTTCCATAGAAAATTACAATTGGTGAGAATAAACATTTTCCCCTATTTGTTATGACTGAAAAATCTGTTTGTTTTTTTCCACCAAATATTGATTTTTCAACCCTTCTTAAGTTAAAAACTTTCATATAGGGTATTTGTCCTATTAGTTGTTTTTTGTCGTCTTTGTTTTTTATTCTGCTTTTTTTATGTCATCAGAAGTTTACAGTAGACATTTTACTTAAAACACGTGCCCATTAAAGGTAAACAAGGGGAACAAAGTTAGTTTCAAGCAGTCCCAAAAGTGTTTACAGAGATGTGTATGCACAAATCTAAGCAACATCTCACGTCAAGTTGTACTGATTTGTATTTTGCATAATGCTGAGAATTGTGTGGATGAAAATATTGTTATTAAATACTATTCGTAAACAGAATTTAGACAAAAAAAACTAGACACCTGATTAAAGACAACACATTATTAAAAGAGTACTCACTACCAACAACTCCTGAATCACGCAAACACAAAGCATCAAGTTGCTATGAATAAGTCTGAATCATACACTGAACTAGAGGCTTCTCTGATAGACCCCCGGCCTCGACAAAAACAGAAATAGGCTACAGATGCCTCACACTCAAGCTGACGCTTCAACTTCAAGTTCCTTGACTGTTTCAGATAAACAGTTTATTCCACGAGTGGAGTGGCCAGAAGTGTATTTGTGGAATCTGACATGGCTAAAAGTCCACAGATAGGACCCCCATTGAAAGTTTCCAAAGATTCTGACCTCACAGTCCTGCCATGGCTGTATCAGTGACATTATGTGCTTACAATCTGAGTGCTGACAAAGGTACTGTATGGAGTGCTGTATCTCAAAGTACATGCTGAAAAAAAAAAACATGTTTTTTTGTCTTGTTTCTAGCCCAATATTTAAAATTGAAGTAAAACATATTGTCTTGCTTTCAGAAATAACGTAAACATTTACATTTCCTTCAGACTTGCTAAATAATCCGCCAATGCGGACCCAGTACCGGGTCCGTGACGTCATCTACTTTCGCTTTCAGATTTAAAGGGCTAGCATTGCACCAGACCCCCGTAAGTGGTGTCGTTTTAAGGTGTAGAATCTATATTTTATGCACATATGCATCACTTTGGTTTTTATTCTACTGTATAAAAGTTATTTACACTGAAATATACAGTATTTTGGATACCCGAGCTAGGTATTTTACATTGGTTCATTTTCCTATTTTTTTATATGACACATGTACAAGTTGTAGCTCAAATGAAAGCTCTTTCCGGTGCTCATACAGTTCTAGCATTCTTTTTACTGAATTATATTCATATGCCAAACAGTTGTTGAATGAATTGTGGTGTTTCCATGGAGCAGAAATGTAAACAATACATTCATGATCAATAAGCAGCCCCAGATAGCACAGACAGCTGTCATCTCTTACCTTATGCTGTGCCCTTCAGGGTTATTCTCCTCTGTTTTTGAGGTGATGTGCATAAGTAAACCTTTTATATGTCTGATGTGCTCCAAACACAGTGAATTATGTTTGATCAAACAAAAGAATAGTGAAATATGTAAACAATGATCGCTCCCTGTGGCTTGTACAGCAACTCTCATCAGTTGGAATACAATAACTTTTGCATAGATTATGGTAGAGACATTTTTCTTTTTTCCTATGATTACAGACATGTGCAGGAACCACCTAAATTAATTACAGCACGCTAGACCACACAGACCCTAAAAGGTACACTTTCAAATCTGAGTTTATAAAAAAAAAATACAAAAATCGCCTCTTTTTTTAGGTAGTTATTATAACACAGATGACATATACAGTTATTTTAAACACTTTCAATAGTGTTTTATGAAAACTCAAAGGGTTTTCTTTAAAATTATACAAATTCTTTGCATTTACACCTCTTTATGTGGATTTGGGAAGGCAAAATCCAGGCGGAAATCCCCAAATAGCAGCAGAGTTTAAGTGGTTAAATAAAAGTGAAAACAAGACTATTTACTTAACCTATTGACCGTTTTTTTGCTTGTTTAAAGCAAAAATTACTTTATTTTGACATATTATTTCTGAAATCAAGACTGTATTTCTTGCTTGCTTAAAAATGCTTTTAGATTTAAGAATTTGTAGATATTAGATTACAACAAGACAACAACTAAGTATGAAAAGCATTTTTTTCTCAGTGCAATTCCAGGAACTACAAAAATCTGCTTTTCTATCCTCTTAACTTCATGAGTACACATTTACTATAAACACAGTGCATACACCAAATGCTTTGTCTTGACTGAACGTAACCTTCAATAAAGTTCAAACATTGAGTAAAATTTAACTTGGCATCCCACTCATACCGCAACTACAACAAGAAACTGAACTGAAAGCTATGAAAAATACAGCCAACATAAACATAACTCACAGATACTTCTTTCCACCAAAGACGTCTTGGGTGAGAAAACTCTTGAGCACTTGTCTTGAGTCGTACTCCTCCGTTCACACGCTCAACAATACTGCAGCCATACACACACTCGAGCACTGAACTAGCTAATGCATTCCATCAGGTGTGGCTGTAAGGAGAGGTGCGCTGGACCAACGCCAGTCATCTACACACCTTCAAACCTGCCTGTTGCTCTTAATACTCCAAACTTCAGCATCAAAATGAGTAGTGATAATTATCCGAGACTGGGTGTGCGGTGCATATCTGAATTCTGACTAATTTCACAGTTGGAAAAGTAATTTGTGATTTATATATTGTTTTATTTGATGAACTGTGGAGTCTGCCTAAAAAGAATAGTGTGGGACAGAGTATATGTGAACTCTGATTCACATTCACTTTTGAGTTTCACATTCACTTCTGAATTTGGTTCTGATGTAAATGCAGCTGTACTTAATCACAAAAGTGAGTGAATTTAATAGAAGTCTTAACATATGTGACTGAGATTTATATTTAGCTTCAGTCACACTTCATTTTGATGGTCCGTTTGTGAACACATTCCATGAAGGAAAGGGGATCAATTGAACTTTGGTTTAGTGGTTCTTTAGTGCTTTTGGTGGGGAGTTTGTCAGAATATTTGTTGAATGTTGTTGCACAATTTCAAATTCAATTTTCACAAGGAGTTCCTGACAGCACTTTTCTGTACATTTCTACAACAGTCAAATTATGTCGTCTTTGCGGCGATCTTTACATGATACTAGATACAATCTACACAAATTAAATTGAGATGTGGGAAATGTACAAATCGTGCGACATGCAAATATTTACATTAATAGGATTTTGACACAAAAACTCTATGGCTAGAATTTAATCGCCATTATATTTGGAAAACAAATTATATT